CATATTAAATAGAAGTGAAAGAAAAGTGAAGTTTTTCTGCAGATTTCATATCTAAGTATAAAGCCTTTTAATCAGCTAGAGATTAGATAAATAATTATAAAATGGAAAATAGTAAAGACGGCAGATATAATGAAAAGCAATTTCTTGTTACAAAAAACTGTTTGTCACAGGAAAATAAATCCGATTTCACTTTCTATAAAAATGAGCACAGAAGTACGTAAAAAACAACAAAAATTATACATTTAACAAAACCGTGACTGTTCAAGGTAAGTGGTTAATTAATGACTATAAAAAACTGCTGCTCTTATGCTAGAGTGGGGGGACATGTTATATAGTCCATTTACCAAATTTCCGACTTATCGAACCTTAAAACTTAGCATTCCTCTCAAAGAATGCGTACGAACAGAATTTTTGCTGAATCGGGAAACGTTTTGAGCTATCTTTTCCTTATTCCGTCACTACGCATACGTACTTGTAACTTACAAATTTATTTGTAATTAAGAACTGATTGTTAACAATTATATAAAATTATTAATGGCTTAATTATTATTATTTTACATCATTTTCCCATTAAAAATTCCCTATTTGTCTCAAAGCAATTTTGTGAATATGAGTCGCGATGAATCGCTATCATGTGCATGTAAACAGTGATGAATCCCCACGCGGTGACTGGCAACTATGTGTATATGAATAGCAATTATATAAATGTGTTATAGTTATATAATGTGTTATATTTATATATGTTACGATGAGTCGTAACTGTATGCATGTGGATCGAGATCAATTATATGCATGTGAATAGCGATGAATGACAGCTATGTGAATGTGAATTGCGACGAACCGCAACTATATGGTTTTAACCTTACACAAGTTAATTTTTAACTTGTTTAATATTGAAAACGCTGTAACCTTATGCGAGTTAAAAAATTAAATTTATAAAGATATAAAATTTGAAAAGCACGGTTCTAGAAGAAGCGTTTGCAACATAAATAGAAAATACACACGAAAGTAAAGACAAACAACAATTTCATAACATATTCTTTTTTATTCAATTTTTGTCACTTAAATACAAGACTTACATTGTATGCACACATGTAACATCATATGCTTTTGAAGGAAAGCGAAAATGAAAGAAGATTAATTTTCGAAACGAATATATCAAGCCAACACTAAAATGTTTCCACTTGAAAAAATTAACATCACTTCAATTTCGTTCCTTGTAAATGCAAGCAGCAATAAAGCAGACCATTGTGTTTAAAACAAAACACAAAAATTAAATCGCTTCTGAGATATATATAACCAGAATGATACGCTTGGTAATTCGGACATTTAGCACAGTTCTAGTTAGTATGTGACTAGAGCCAGTACCTAGTTTTGATTTTCATTTTACAGTTTGGATGAAAACAGAAAGTTTTCCAAATTTATAGTAAAACTCTTTATGTTTCCTTTTTGAAGATTTGATAAAAGTCCCTCTTCAAAATTATCAACTGAAATATTACTTCGATATTTTTAGAGGTGGGACGAATTCTAGTTTTTCTTGATTCTGAATGAGGAACAGCTTTCGAATCTCTCGAATCCTTCATAATAAAAGAAGAAAGAAACATATTTTACTTCACAATCAAATGTTTCTAATAAAAGAGAAAATTCAGATCCACGTATCAAAAATACATTTAAGAATAGAGTCTTTTAAAATACAATTTAGCTTTTCGATACGTTGACTGATATGGCAAATTTCTGGTTTCAGTCTTAGGGGCCAATTTGGTTTTACGATATTGTACAACCCATTAATAACAATATAAATAAATTTCAAAACTTCAGTTGAAGGAGTTTCATTGGCTAAAATGCGACTAGAAACACTCTGTTTATATCTAATCTATGAACGTTGTCTTTTTGTGAATGATTGTTTTAAAATATTTTTTTGGCTTCTTAACTTTCACTTTGATTAAAGAATAATAATCAGATTAAAGATGTTTTATGCTTATATTTCGTCTCCATTTATTAATGTATTTTTAGTTCGTGTAAGCCAGCCTTGACGTTTATATCTTTTCCAGAAGCCACCTTCATTTAAATATTTTTTGTATTATACTTATATTTTACTCAAGACATTCCGCGCTAACTCGTAATATATGCCTTGGATGAAAACGAGCTATTTTGTTGATAATAAACTACGACTTATTTCCTAATTGGTAGTCAACAGATACAATCAGAAGAAGTACAACGTAAGAACATAAGAATATACAAACTGAAATTAAAATTAAGGTTCATTTCCTGACCGTAACTGGAAAAGCGTAGGGTTGGAAGGCTAAACAAATTAATACTAACCATGGAAGCTTAGTGAGGTATTCAAGGCCACCATGCAAATTTATTAATTGATCCAGATTCCAAAAATGATTGATCCAGATTCCAAAATTCCACCGAAATTGCAACGCCCGTGTTCTTTTTTAAAACGCTTCTATAGCGGGACCAAAAAAAATCATTTTCTTAAAGTTTGAATTAAAACGCTAAATGGTGTTTTAGATTAAGATTCGAAAGATTCGAAACAAGAAAAATACGCGAAGATTCAAATTTTCGAACCTCTAGTCTCTGGCAACGATCATGGGATTCGAGAATTCAAATGTCTTATCTCTTTATTATTTTAACGACATACTTATATGCTATATATTCAAAAGAGATACCAATATACACAAAACATTTTGGTTGCTTTATTATGCCTTTATGTTTTAGCTAAAGTTTCTGTAGTTCTTAACAATTATTACAACACTTGAACCATAGAAACTATCTACGCATCTACATACAGAACAATATTCGAAATTTAATTCACCCCCACACCACTGAGGAATAAAACATTTTTATTTAAAATATACACACATTTGGTTAATATATAAGAATGCCATTAGCATATGTGTGCTGTATGAAATGTAATAAAGAACTTGTTTATACATATATACCAAGGCTGCAACCACTTCAGAAAAGAAATGAGAAACTAGAGTATTTCAAGTATTGAGAACGGATTTAATTATGATTAATGAATAAATAATTGTAAAAATGCACTTACAGTAATTTAAAACCATTGATGCATGATCAACTATTCATGAATGTATAACATGAAATGGATTATAATTTAAATTTGGTTTTTATTCAGATATATTTTTATCGAGGTATGTAAATATTTTATATGAAATGAAAAGAAGTTAAATAATGTTTCGCATTTATTATTCAGAAATACAATTTTTGCCAATTTTATTGCTAGTGAAATTGTTATCTTCAAATTATGTATGGTTAAAATAATAAAATCATATTAATTCCTTATTGTAAAGAAGTTAAAAACTTAATTTCGTATATAAAATACAATAAGGAAATTAAAAGTATATACATTGTGCAACTATAATAGCTTTTATTTCGTTTATAAATAATTTAAATTGTTTAAAATTTATATTTTAATTATAACATTTATTTAATTCAATTTTGCTTAAAAGTATACATTAATATATCTATTTAAAATTTATTTTTAATCGAAACTTTTTGAGATAATTCAATACTGAAAACAAAAACAGAATTAATTAATATATCATTTAAAATACTAATATTAAATAAAATTTTCTATCTTTGGAAACTGAAATGAATTTATATATTTAATAAATATTAGTAAATATGCATAAATGTTATTAAATGAATGTATATATAGATACATGTTTTAAAGAAAAAATTTAATTATTCATTTATGTTGCGTAGATACTTTGGTTTATATCTGAAGTGTATACAAATTTTTATTAATAAAAATTGTAAAAATATGTTATTTTGTTCAAATGTAATGTTCCAAAAGCATGTTATTTAAAAGGTATTATAAATCATTTCAGAATGTTTAAATGCATTAACCCTCTTTAATATCAATAAGAACAATTAAAATAAAGATTTAGATAATAGCAGTTTCATAATTCCTAACAGAAACTAGGGCAAAAATTTTAGCTTGGGGGTTGAATATGCTTGAAAATTAAAACCGTTTTGTAAAATATATAAAAATTAATATTTTTTTAAAAATTTATAATTAAAAAAATCCTTTTCAACTTTATATTTGTTTTTTTCTTTTTAACTTTGCATAATTTTGTATGATAAATATTTGTACAAATTTAAACAATTAATATAATCCAATTCAAAATTAAAATACTTCTGAAAACAGAATGTAATAAAACATGAATTAATCGGAATAAAGTTTACAGGTTATTATCTAAATGCAGTTCATATTTTTTATTTCAATTACGTATTCATTGTATTTTCAGGATAAAATACATTATCATCAAGAAACTGCAATGTATGTTTTACTGTTGTTTAAAAATATATCTGAATTTTAAATATAATCCAAAATACTTAACTAATAAACTACCTGCCTGAAATATTATTGCATATAATTAAAAAAGTCTATTTTTGAAAGGAAATCAAAATGTGATGTAGATGAAAACCCAAAGAAAAATGGCATTTATTATAAAGCAATGACTTATAGATTCTAAAGAAGAATCTAAGATGATGCAACTGGCGATTTCTTATGAAATAAATGCTGTAATAACTAAAAAACTTTAGTTACAGAGCCATTTCATTCATTTTAGTTTCACAATAATAGCGGTGCATCAGAATTATAGTCAAAAGTACAACTGAACCAGTTATTCACTCATACATTAGATACCAACAATTTCACAAAGTAAAACTCTCATATTTTTTACACATCTTCTGTACACATTCCTTAAATTCTGTGACCTTCCATACACAACTGCAAGTACTGCATCGAAATACAAAACAATACAAACGCATGTATATTATTAATAGCAGATGTAATGACAATTAAACAACTACTTAAAAAGTCTTCTCTGAAAACACTATCTAATTGTCACTGAAGATAGTTACCGAAAGTGAGAAAATAGTCACATGCTATTTAGAAACTGTGATTTCTTCTTCTGAACGCAGCAGAAACACAGAAGGAAAACAATCACAAACTGAATTCTTTCTCTCTTTTTTTTCGAGGTTATAATAGCAATATTTGTTAATATAATATTAGCTGTTATGAATACATGGCATCTGTGCGTTTATAAGTTCAGGAAATATATGCAGTCGATGCTGTTTAACTCTGATTTTCTTTGTTTTTTAACTTGACAACTACTTTATTTTCAATCTTCTATTTACTTTACTTCACAGATGCGTAGGAGTTCTGTGGAGGTCGCGACGCAACCCATGTCGTAAATACGTCTCTAAAAATTTAGAAAAGAAATCATTTAAAATAAACAAAACTAACAATCAAATTTTGACAAAATATGTTTCAGATATTAGTCTACATACAAGGAAATTTCAAATATAAACAGGGAATGTCATGGTACCTTCTGCATTGGGTAATCAAAAGGAACAAGCATCCAATGACAAATAATTCAAGTTAAGCGAGCAAGTTACTGAAGTTGTGCACAAATGGGTCAATATACACTTAACAAACTTTTGTTCCTTTAAAACTAAGAAAATTCCTAGACGTTGGAGCAATTGAATGCCAGATGCAGGTGTGACTACATAAAAGAATAGTAAGTAAAATTTTTTTAGTACGTGCAATAAATTAAATGTAGTGCAGCAGTTCTTGTTTATATTTGAATGTCCCTTATAACTTTGAATACACAACGTGACATAAAACTATATCTAATGCTTTCGATGAAATTAAAAAAAATTTATTAGCATATTGTTTTCATTTCTGAAATAAATTTTTAAATCATGCATGTAAAGAAAACTACTTTAATTTTGACACAGAAGTTTTCAAAAAAAAAAAGTGTAAAATCAATTTCTTTTTATGACCTCTGTTAAAAAGTCAATAAAATTCCCCATAATACAAGTCTTTATTTGTCATTATGCAATAATTTATGTAAATATTTTATTAATAAATACTAAAAGTATTCATAAAATGCATGAAATAATGTAATGGCTTTAATTACGATTTTAAAAATCAATTTAAATTTCAGTCGAAAATTCAGGTATGATGTTTTACTGCCGAAGTCATATATATGCAGAAAAACCAACTGCACAGACATAGATAATATCAGCTAATACTTGTATTAAAACTCTGATATTTAATTAATAATAATTAATCATTGAAATGACTACTGTGTATAGTAAAATGTAAATATTTTCATAGCTTTCTCGAATTTACTGGATTATACTTTTTTATGGAAAAATAAACTTACCTTCGATTTAATAAAAGGGCCAATATTTAAATATATTTATTGAATTAACATGAACCCCACAGGACACTAACAAAAATATAATTTTTTAAATAGCATTTTTTGCATGCAACATTATTTTTCACATTTTAAAATTTTGAAGAGTAATTTTCAAATTAAAAGTACACTTAAAAGATTTTATCAATTGATAATTACCTTATTTTTGTCTTTCGTTCTCTATGCTTTATTGTATACTATTTGTTAACTTTAATTTTGCTGAAAATTAAAGATTTTACTTTTTGTTTCAAATTCAGTTTTCAATATTTTTTCTCTCAGAAAAATTTTGTAAAATTAACTGTGGTAGTTTTTTTAATTAATTGGTTCCATTCAAATTTCTTCCAGTTATCAGAATGATTCATGCCTTCAGTTTGAAGACTATGCGCAATGGGGATTAAAGGAATAAAGTTTAATTTAATCTTTAAACATATTTATGTACTTCTGAGATAACGCAGAAAAAGATGGAAGTCAGACCAAGAAAAGATTAAAACATTTTTTTTTTGGGGGGGGGGAGTTGGAAATTATTTTAAAAATCATATAAAAATAAATAATTTAATATGTTTTCTGTAAAAAGTATTTAAGATGATTTTAACGTATTATACAAAACTTCCAGGTGAATATCACCAGAATGTATTCATGAAAGAACATTGAAACATTGCCCACAATCAAACATTACACTTCACTTCATGTTTTAAAACTGCCTCAATCCTTTTTCATATAAACAATATCCTTTATAACTTATTAAGGCATAAAATTATGACCGACTGAAAACAGAAAGATTGGTAACTAGAAAATGTCATTGAATAATTTTCTTTACTCAGAATGATAGAATTTAATATTAACTGTAGTTAAACAAATATAGTTTTCTCAAATATACTTCTCTTAATTAATATACAATACACTTATTGTTTATTTAACAAGAATTAATTCAACTCATTAGTTATTTAATTAAATTTAAAGGCTTAAAGTTAATTATCAATGTCAAACAATGATGATTCTATCATTATTGTCTACATTCGAATGCAATTTAAATTCTACAAAAATATTTGAAAAGTTTATTTATATATACCTTCAGATTATAGAGCATCATTTAATTTTCTAACCAGTATTTTCCTATCAAACTTCATTTCTCTGCCAGAATGCAAATTGTCAGCACACGCGAAACTCAAATTAGGTAGGGAGAAGGAAACATTTAAAAGAAGATTTTAGAGGGTGAAATTAGAGCGTGTTCTACCTGCTTGAAGATCACGTTACTAACTTTAATTCTCTAGCGATTAGAATTCAGTGGCATTGAGTTATTCCTGCCATTAGGCGTTTTAACGCCAACTTCAAGCCAGAGCCATCTTGCACGATAGTTAAACTGTGAAGTCGTTAGGCTGTACTTGAACTTCATCAATTTTAAGTTTAGTCACATTTTGATTTAAACCAAAAGTGTTGGCTTCTGTAACATGAGCTGGTGCCAAACTTTATTTAAGTTAATGAAGGGTTCTACAAACTTTCTCCTGATTTTATAGTACTTTAAAAGGCCTGATGATAATTCACTACATAGTCTTGCAACATTGCGCATATTTTATTATAGCAAAAAATACACAACGTTACAAGATGATTATCAAAATATTACAAAAATAACAAAATTTTTTCTTCTGTCTCTCGCAAGCTGCAGTTATTTAAATCAAAATATTTAAATTATATTTTTCATAATTTTAATGTTTGCGTTTTGAATTGAAAGACAGTTTTGTAATCGCGAACAAAGTGTTGTGTGTGTCGATTTTTATTGGAATGAATGACATTTGGATCGAAATGATGAATATTTGCAATAGGTTTTGTTGGTTTGAATAGTTTATGCAAATGATTTAATTAATTTTTGAAATTAATCACCTTGTTGAAATGATGCGGAAACAGCAATCTTTGTCAACTCACCTGCAATGTGAAACTACACAGTCATTACTACAATAGTCCCTGTCCCATTCTTGGGCAGTTTCTCCCCTAGCACAATTATTCTGGAGGGGAGATGCACACATCATACCTTGTTGTTGCTGACCCTGATGAGATAACTGGGGGGACTGCAAAAAAGAAGGGAAACTATAAGCAGCGATTCTATCTAAAACAATTAAAAATCTAAGGAGATTATTTGTTTCGCCAATTAGGATTACGACACTTAAAATGGTCAAACTTTTGTTAAATGAAAATATCACTGTTGAATGTAAAATAAATCTCAAAAGTATATGAAAACATCTGAATTTAAATACTCTTAATTGATTATTTATACTAAGTGCAACAGAGTAGTACGTTTTAGTTCTGGGATGAAGTAAAGAAATCACGTAAAATATTCAACAACTTGGCATAAATGTGTAGTCGGCAAATGGCTCATAGAACTTGAAAATCGTGAACATATATAAATGATATTCAGAACTGAAATATGTTTAAGATGAGCTGCTTTTAATGCCATTACTGTTTTTAATTTTATAACTTTTTATTTTATGAAAACCACATCCAAGATGTTTCAAATGTTTACATGATGATCAACATCCATGATGTTTCAAACTGACGATAGTATTTCTTTCTTACGTGAAAGTTACGCACTAGTAAATGTGCATATTTACATGAGATAGACTGAATGTTACCTACACCCTGATACCATCGCGAAGTGGTCGATAATGAAAGATAATATTGCAATATTCATACTGAAATTATCTCAACCACTTACATGGGTGAGAAAAGCTAGATATCCCTATGTTCAGACCCCTGGATAATGTAAGTATGTTAGTGGTGTCATCTCCCTTATGATGTTAGAGTAATATGCGTACTTGAGCATGGAAATATTCTCCACAGTAACGCGATGAAATTCCGTAATTAGGTAACAGCCGACATAGAGGAAAACCACAGTCATATTAGTTGAATACTTTAATAATATCTTTAATAAGCTTAATATCACCTTTGCATAACGTCTTTCTGTCTAATGTTCTCAACAATCTTAACAACAATGTTTGAAGAAACAGACCATTTTAATAAAGTGTGACCTAAAGCATGCCACATAGAACTAATATCATCCAGGATATGGTATACGATAATTATGACACCGGATTATTTTGTTTGATCTTTTAGTTTACTTACCATATTAGAAGTGTAAGGAATACTGTTATTGTTGTTGTTGTTTAGAGCTGCCATCTGCATATTATGATGCTGTTGCATGACATGAGGGGGAGGAGGTGAGCCCATATGCATCATCTGCTGCTGTTGCTGCTGCTGAGCTCCAGGTGATAACATCTGGTGAAGCATTTGGTGAGAGGGAGGAGCAGAAGAATGAGGGGGTAGATGCTGAGGAAGCATGTGGGGATGGTGGCCCCCATTCATAGGACTCTAAAAATATTAGAAGAATTTTTAGATCCACTATTGTGAAAATTATATTACATGTTATGATTTATAACAGTAATGAACATACCTGTCCCATAATCAGTGGTTGAGGATTTGTCATGTTTTGAAGGCTGGATACTGGTGTACCTTCCATCAGCGAAGTCAATAAAGGGGATTTCTTTTGCAGTGGTGACAACGCTTGACCTGGCATTGATGTCATTGGTGGAGACATTGATGTGGGAGTTGAACCATTCGGGGCTCCACTTCCATAAATGTTATCCGATTGATCATTGGCCGCCTATTTAAAAAAATCATTAATTATCGTAAATTTTAAAATCTCACATTAACATTAATATTACCATATCATCACTTAACCCTCTGTGAACGGCAGACCATACCCAGCCCAAACTCCTTTCCACAAATAATTAAAATAGGAAACATAATATACTTTATAAAATTTAATTTTTAATTAGACAACATATTCAATACATACATAGGTACATAAAATAATCCTATTATAGGATATAAGCAAGAATTTTTCTTTCTTGTTCTGATTCATCTTTGTGTTTTGGAAGACAGGCAGTACAAGATTTATGTCTGATATCTTCTGCTGCAGAAACACTTAAGAAAATAAACTGAATGTGTAATAACTTAAATGACTGTTAATGTTTTCCTGCGCAGAAGTCACAAAAAGAAAATAATGTACTATCATACAAGAAGTAAGACATTAAAATGAATTTTGAAATTTAAAAAAAAATCAATTATTATTAGATGAATCCATCAAGAGTAGAAATGAAGCATAGGAGAAAAAATTCAGGTCCATTATGAGAAAGATCTTGAAAATTCTAAGTTCAAATATTTTGTCACAGGATTCAGTGAACATAAAGACTGCGAACACGTAAAGGTTCACAGTATATTTTCTAACAATAAATTGCATTTTTAAAATAACTACAAATGCAAACACTCATGTTAAATAAATAATTTCCTGAGAAGCATTTAATATTCAGAGCAAATGATCGGTCATTCACTCAGTGTATATCAAAATCTGAAAGCGGATTATTGTTTTGTAATTACAAATAAAATGTGTATAAAGATAGATCCGATTAAAATGTAGATGTAGTGGAATATATAACACAATTTTGAACTTGATGAATGAGAAATTTGAATATGTAGTTTAATTTCGTGCACTACCTTTATCATTTTAATCATGTTGTGCTTTTTGTTTCTTGTATGCATTCAAAGCACAAAATTACATACGTCCTCGAGGCAACAGATAATACAGATTTCAAGCCAACTTCAGAATTTTATTATGCTTAAGAGTAAGATTCATTTATCATAGGTAATAAATTTTCAATGCCCTCGAGCAAAACTACTCAAAACGATAGGAATATCAAAGCAGTATATTGCATACATTAAAATTTCAAACTCAATTTCATTCAAAATTCAGCAAACTATGACTGTTTAAAGTTTTTATAATTAAACAAGGAAGAGCAAAATCTATGAGTAGGAAAACGTTCCATAACGGTTCATATTGTTAGTTACAAAACATTCCATAAAATGTTTTCCAAATCGCTACAAAACAAAATCAGTGCTTGCGAATAACATAAAAAGTGTTTAAAACATTCTCATAAATATGCTATATTTATATCGAAAAACGCAAATTTCATCATGAGATCAAACTGTATGCAATTCTTTGGTCATGACCCACTTCAGGCTTTCCCAGATGAGGATTTCTCAAAATCGCTGTATTTCAGCCTCTCTGGATAGGATAATTTTCAGATAGATTTGAGATTCTTCAGGGTCAACGCTAAATCTGAAAATGCGATTGGAAGTCTCATGACTCTTAAATTTGCATCAAATTTCGTCAGGACGATGATCCAGGGCTAATTCTTAGTGTTAAGATATGTTTTGATACAGCATTAATGTCCCTGTCATTGACACTTAATACAATAAATTATTTGTTTTATTTAATTACAATTAAGTGCTATCACGAGATAAAAAAATAATATTGATTTTTAAAAATAATCATAGCTAAAATATTTTGAAAATCCTATACTGTAAATGAAAACGAAGAATGGGAATTTTTAGAACTGTGTTGGAATTAAATCTAATTTAAAATATGATTTTTTGTAGTTATTTAAAAAAATACTTTTATGGCGGGAAGGAAAGAGCTATAATTACATCACTTTCTACTAATCTTTATCACCTGAAAAAAGTAAGAAAAGACTTGAAGTAGTACGATTTTTGTTGCGATCTGCAAAAAGCCTGAATTGAGAAAGACTGAAATAGGACGTCCGAATTCTTTAGTGTATAAAGTTCTCTGATCGCTTTAAATCATTACGTTCCATCAGTCCAAGTTTCATCGATCAAATGTTTACAAAATGAACGTTAAATTAGGTTAAAAAAATACAACTCAAACTTAGCAAAGTCCACAGCTGAAAGCACGTTACTTCAACAGAATCGCACATGCCAGTCACTCACATTCATACAAAGGCGCTGGATTAAAGAACATTTGCGCCGTCCATTTCCTCTGCTTATTAAAGGAAATAATTTCACAGTATGAAGAAAGAAAATTCAAAATCTTTTATTTTTCTTTTTTCGTCCATTCCATGCATATTTATTGACACTAAAGTTGTAAATAATTTCAATATTTTATCGTTCAATCTTTGATTTCATTTTCAGCGACCTATTTCCCTTTACAAACAACGTAAAATAACCTTGGAATTGCGTAAATAAAGTGAATGGAATATTATCTTAGCAATTTTTTCAATTCTTTTCACTGTTCTTCAAAAATGTAGTTTCTGAATATGATGTTACTGCCCACGGGTGGGCGCTGACGAGATCAAGGAAAGCATTAACTAGACCTAGGCGCAAAAAAGCGGCATTCGGAAATAAATATTAATAAGAACAAATTTGGAAAATTTAGTTGTCTCAGACACTCACGCAATTATACAACTATTGCAATCACACATCCTTAAAGGACATAAAAATCGACCATAAAAATCGACCAAACCATAAAAATCGACTTTTCGTACATGCTAGTCCAAGTTGCATATTGTTCACGGGAACGAAGTTACAAATCATCAATCTCCTATCTTACAATGAAGACCTATCACAATTCTTATTTGCGGTGACATTTAATATGCGCAAGTGGCATGTTCTTTCATTATATATCCCTTCGAACCCTACGTTTTGATTATTATGAACCTATTCCATGTTTTGACAGATTTATTATTACCGAATGATCCAAAAGTTGGGCACATCAAACTTCCGAAACTGTGGAAATTTCAAAATGGATATTAATGGTAAATTATCTCAACAGATGATAGCTCTGCACAGTTACAAGTAATGCATTGCATGAAATTTCAGTTGCAGATTAGGTTGTTAGCTTTAAAACCCTTTCTTTAGATGCATGATGGAGATGAGGGTTTCCTACGTAGCACGACATTTTTGATGGAGCGTTGCTACGAATAGGATAAATTTGATTGCAATGCCATCTTTATCGCATTCTTTGTTAGTGACTGCAACATTTTAATAATCACTTCGTCCATTTTGTCCGAACTCAGAAGAGACGAACTGCCACTTTGATCCTTACGGTGAGCGCTTCCAGTTTTTCGAATCGGATCACCAAACAGAAACCCATTACCTTAGATTCGTAAATATTTGCGAAGGCCTTCCTAAACATTTATATATATTTTTTTAAGAATGTGCTGCGAAATAAGACTCAATAATTCAATTCCTTATGCTTGGGAAAAAAAATCATCGCTGTCGTATGCAATAAAAAAACTAAAGCTGAAGCATAAACTGCAACTAACATTTGAAATAATATATTACTTGTATTATAAGGGGGTCATTCATTGAAACAATTTTCCATTAATATCTATGAAAGACCTTCCATAATTTTTGAAAGTTTGATATGCGAGATTTTGGGATTCCCCTATATGAATAAATGCTTTCATATGTATTCTGCAATATTCTATTTCCATACTGCGCGATGGATATTAATTAAGAACTTGATGCAATACGAGGCACAAATAATACTTAAAATATTTTAAACATATTGAAACAATGCTTACAAATCATATTCAGAAGACATCAATTTTGCTATTTTTGCAAAAGTTGAGGAGCTTCATAAATTCAAATGGAGCGTTGAGCAAATGAAGGCAAAAATGGTTGAGAAATTGTTTTGTAAAAGTACAACCTGATGTATCCGAAAACTCGAGACCTCACATTCGCCGGCAAATGTCACATATACCTAAACATTTTATAGGTCTCTTGACTTTATTTTTGGGCCTCTTTTAGTTTAAAATTTATTTATAATATACATCATACTAATAGTTACTAAATGTAAATCAAGCTTTGTTTCAAAAAAACTGAGCATTTTGCTCCGTATATTAGTATTTGCGTAAAGGCAAAGCTATCTTCTTTTTCGAATAAATAAGTTTGGTTTGGTTTATTAGATTATGGCAAAGCACCCGAGGGCCATCTGCCTTAAGGGAGGGATGCCTTCGTGGAGGACTTTTTAAGGGAAACTGGCTCTCGTATACATGGGGAAAACCACGAAAACGCCCATGCAGCCAGCCCGTTCGCGGGATTCGAACCTCGGACCGAACTACCAGTGTTCAGCGACGTTACCGCTCGGCCGCTGGTGGGCCTTTCAAATAAATAAAAAAATAATATTTAAAATTAATGCAAATATACAGCATTTCTTTCAATATAAAATTATTCTTTCTTCCCATATGAACACTGCTAAATATGAAGTGTCTCTTAGAAACGACGGCATCTCTGCACCACAATTCTTTTCTGAGTTAATAGTTATTAATAGATATTAAATTTTTCCAAATTGCTAATTTAAATTCGAATACTGTTACTGTTAATAAACTGAAGACGATTGTTTAAAGATATTTCTAAATCGCAAATTTGTGCTTTATTTAAATTATTTTCTTTTCGTAGATTCAAAATCTTTTGTTCTGTTAGTTGTATTCAAATTATGGATTGCAACTTAAACCTATGGTGTAAAAAGTATTTAATGTATTGTATTTTTTCGATTTTAGAATCGAAGAAATACTGTATATCAAATGCGTTCACTTACAATAATATATACAATAAAATAATTAGAGCAATAATAATAATTTTTGTTGACAGTTTTCAACAAAACTTAAAATTACTACGCTTCTTTTAATTACTACACTACTTCAAATTTTTCATTCATATTTTTCTCGATACATCGACAGTAAGCAGCATGGTAATTTAACACGGGACTTCTATTCCTGCAGACGAGTGATGTGCCACATGAATTGCTGCAATATTGATAGATTATCAATGAATAATACTAAACGCATTAGCATTATCCATATAATAATATTAAACGCTTAGTACTTACTTTTGATACCAAGCTAGCTCTGTACGCTGCCAAAGCCTTTAGATACTCTTTCTTTGCTGCTTCTGTTTTCTTCTTATACACCTACAAAAAAGCAAAATAAAGATCATTGAATGCCACCGACACTTCCCATCATACACCATACATGCTTTCAACTTAACCCCACTTAATGTCATATGTTTATTATAGCGAACAGATAATTCTTAAATATATGGTTTAACCTACATCATTATTATTAGCTGGCTTAGCTAGAATTATTGATTACTTACGAAACAATAATCCTACCAGTATAATAATAATATATATATACTGACTTTTATCTTAACCGTACACAAAATATTAATTCACTAATTCTAAAATAGGACATTTGGAATGATTTCATTCAAACTAAGCAAATCTTTCGAATTTAGCTGTTAAAATAAAATTTATATAAACGAAATAAAATAATGCTAAAACAAACGACTGTGATGTTAAACAACCGAGAAAATATAATGAGATTAAATATCTTACATCACAAGTTGGTATTTTAACATCTTCTAAAGAAGGTTAAAAAAACATTCCGGTTTGTGGCATTAATAAATAAGCAAATAAAAATTAAAATAAAATCTTTAAAGCAATACACTAATAAAAGAATGCATAACCCATTTCTTCTACGTATGTTAAAAAGCAAGAAGGTATTATTTCGATGTGGATTAGTTCAAAATCACCTTTTGTCTGAGAGGTGAAATCAAACAGTAACTTAACTACCTCTGCACAAGGCGGAAGTGGGAAAGGTTACTTGCAATTGAAATTGAATTAGCGAAAATAAAAGAAATCAATTAATTAAGATTAACATTAGTCAAAGCTCCTTCAAGTTTGGTGCTCTATGTAACAGATAAATAAGCCAATAATAAGTACAATTAGGCAAACTATGATCTTAGCAAAATAGCTGGAGAGTTTAGAAAAGCATATTTAACAGAAGCCTAATTATGTTTGCTTGAGAATTGTAAAAAGCATAATTAAAAAAAGGAAAATGTACAATGAAATTAACCTTTGAGTTTTTTATATAATTCATCAAATTTCGGACATTTATACCTCAGCAATTCTATTCTGCCACTTCCATATAAATACAAAATTATTTAAAAAATTTTTTGAATGTATATCTGCATTTAAAATGCTAATTAATTAAAAATTAAGGGTGGTTTTCTCAGTTTTGAGTTTATGTTGCTTTAAAATATTTCAAATGCTCTTATATCTAATTATGAAATATTTAATGTATCTTTTGATAATCTCTTAATGTATCTTTTGATAATCTTTTGATAATCTCTGAAGTATCTTTTGATAACAATGCATGTTAAGCTTGTTATTTTGATTAAATTTAATTGTTGGTAAGTTACCATGACACACATTTTTACAAGAATATTGATATTTTTAAAAATTATGCAACATGCAAAAAACTATGAATTAAAAAAAAAGTAATTTAATAACAATTGAATGAAAACTAGGTTTCTTAGCATTGAAAAAATATATATTCCGCGTATGTTTAGCATAACAAAATAGCAAGTTACATCAGTTTTAAAATTTATCTCTATTACAAATTTGTTTGATTAAAAAATAAAAAAGATGTTCAGAAAAATTAAAAAATTCTTTAAAACATTTTGTTATTTTTTTAAAACAAAAATAAAAACTGGTAACAAAATTAAAGTTAAAAAAAATGAAAATATGAAAACAATCAAGATTTCTACCCGTTAAATCAAAAAATAATTTAATATTCTTTAACGAAAAATTATAAAAATCAGCTTAAAAAATATAGTTTAATCTCATAAAAACAGTACAAGATTTGGAAAAATATGTTCAATAAACTAGCTTATTAAGGATATTTATTCAGTAAATTTAACATCATATTTAAAAAAATAATCAGAGAGCTTTAATAAATGTATTTATTCATTAAAATCTGTGAAAAGAATTACAAATAAATGAGAGACGAAAAACAATGGGGCGGGAGATTTTTTTTCAAGGGGGATGTAACTGACTAAGCTGAAAATTAGATAGACAAAATGCAATGATATAAATGTTTATATTTCAAGAGATGCGATTGATTCCTTTCTTCTAAAAATCGCTCTTTCTTACAAAAGAAAAATAAAGTGTGTGGAAAAGATGAAATCTTCCTAAGTAAAACACTCTTGTCTTATGTGTACACTTTCCATGAATCGGTATACTTCAAAATGATAGTCAATTTCTTGCCGCACCCGCTATAGCTGTCTCGAGTTATGAAATGCACTGCTGCAAAAGTGCTAAGTCTATAAATATAACCATGTATTAAAAATATTGTCAAAATCTGAAGAATGAAAAGAAACAAAAATTAGTTGGCAACAGGTTTTGAGATTCGAAATCCAAGACATGCGATCATTTTAGGCACTTCGATGTGGCTCTGAGAAACAATTTCTTTCATATAACAGACTGAAACACAGGACATTAACATTATCCTCCCCATCCGCCCATTAAAATCGTATGATAGATATTTTTGTTTAGCAAGAAACAGTCTACTCTATTTTAGTTACTCCGGTCTACATTTCGAAAGGTAACAAACAGACAGACAACATCAAATTCCCTACATATAATTGTGAAGGAAAACTAAAACCAGAATATTCCAGAAGAGACGCAAGACTGGAACATAACATCTTCCAGGCATCGTTCTGGGAGTTCATCGAAGAGCTCTCAAAAATCTAAAGAAATCTATTTTAAAGAGGCCCATCAAGACCTCCCTTGAAACCACCGTTGAGTGCTCATTTTTCACGGCGGCCGCAGTAACGCCGTGCCCGTCGTAGATAAGGGCCTTTTCTGTGGAAACAATAAATATATTTGCCTCTTATAAAGCCTCAGATTAGTTCGGATGATCTATGTAAAAGGCTGGACTCTTAAAGCTTTCAAAATGCAGATGATTTGGAGTTGGAAGTTTATCATCAATTTCGCGGCCAGGTAATCAATTTAAATTAATGTCCAATAATTTATTTTGAAGGTATTTTAATTATATTGACACATGCGAAGTTCGTAGAGGCTTTCTCTAATAAAGAGAAGGAGGAGGGAAGATGGAGAAGGGGTTGCCATAAAACTGCGATTGGCGACGCCGCTGGCGGTTTTTGAAGAGCAATAAAAGTAAATAATCGAAGACGACTTCAGATTCTTTAACAAGTACTGAATTCATACTAAAAAAATACGCTTTTATAATCAATTAAAGGTGATTTATGCTCCAAAGTAAACTAAATACTTTTTATTTCTACATCTAATTAAGATTCTGAAATATTTAGGCAATAAATTCAAATTCGCCATAACCGAAATTTTTTTTGAGATTCTTCAGCACCCGTTCAAATAAAATTCTTAAAATTTATATTAAAAATCGATTTTAGGCAAGATACTTATCAGATAATGAGATATAAATTTGTTCCTCGCAAATCAAACGCAATATACAAAAGAAGAAAATGTGACTTTCTATATGTAAATTAAATATCTAAGAATTTTTCTTTAAAATGTCTTAACATTTTTAATATTTTACTTGTGTAATAATATATTCTTACGTAACCATAAAATTATTTTCACAGTTTGAATTACAAGAAATTAACTTACTCATATCACCAAAATAACGAAAAATATTTAGAGTTCAATTACACTGCAGTAGTCATAACTCTCTCTTTTTATAAGCATTTCTTTCCTTCTTCTGACATAATTTATTATATTTTAAGATCTATTCAAATTAGATACAACGATGACACCAAAGTTTTTAATTCGAGTTTTCGATTGCTTTATGGGAAATTTTAAATGTTTGCTGTGCATATCTCTACTGATGACGACTTACTGTAACGAAATATTTAAATTTTATGTTATTTAAATCTTTTTTTTTTATTTTATTTTATTTTTTTTATTTTACTTTACAAATGTTTTCTGCCGAAGTTGTAGAACAGAGGAAACTTTTGAACGTATACAGAATGTCGCATCATGACCGCCCAAATTCTACCCAGATTGCTGGCTTTCCGAGTGAATAAAAATGCTCAAAGAATGTACCTGTACGACCTGTAGTTTTCGAGATAAATGTGAAAGGAACGTATTACGTCATATCCGTCACATCGCCTATGGTTCCAGCAGGATGGACTTCCAGCGCATGTCAGTGCTCTTGTTGCATAACTGGCTATATATGGAATACCCAGGCCACTGGATTGGTCGGAGGAGCCGTTTTTATAACGCCACGATCACCAGATCTGACATCTCTAGATTTTTTCTAGGGGCCAATCTGAAGAAATTTGTTAATCAAGACCTAGTGACCACACAAAGTGACTTTGTTGCTCGTCTACGAGCTGCATGTACTTTGGTGGACAAAATGTTCCTAAAACGTGCAGTCAGCCATTCCGCGGAGCGCGCATTAACCCATGTAAACACATACAAATACTGATGTTCTGCACTACTTTGATATCATACTTCTCTTTCGCATTTACCTCGAAAACTATGACACAGTTTTTTATCATTTTTGACAGTCTTCATGAGACACCCTGTAGTTTATGACGAAAACTGGATAAGACGCAAACTAATAACATTGAAATTTTCATATCGGAACTTAAATTTATGAAAATTAATTTTTTTCCCGAAATTCACAGTTAAGGATAATGCAAAGTGTTACTTACATAACGTTTTTAGAATTTATTTCAAAAATGAAAATGACGAGAGTACTATACACTTATATTTCTAGTTTACTTTAAAACCGCATTTAAAAACATATTTGATAAAACTTCAAAAGGGGCATATTACAAAGATATGTTCCCTCATTACTAAAAACTGATCTTTATCAAAATAAACTTAATAATACCAAAAATTATATTTTTACCACTAATAATATAGTAAGTCATGGATTAATACTATACACTTTCTTTAAGGTTTAGAATATTTCATATAATTTTGTATACTTTAAACATAAATAAGAATCCCAACAAAAAGTTTTATATAAAATGTAGTAAAAACATGTAACAGTACGAAATTTATGTAATAAACACATGTTATTAAAAGTAAAAATATTTCATATTATTTTGTGTACTTTAGACATAAATATGAATCCCAACAGAAAAGATTTATATAAAAAGTATAGTATAAACATATACCAGTACCAAATTTATGAAATAACACATATTATTAAAAGTGAAAAAAAATAGTTTAAAAGAACTGTCTTCGTTAATAATTTATTTTCTGTATTACATTAATATTTCCCCCCCCCGTCTCCATGGTATTTAATTTCGAAAATTTAATATTAATACAAATCAAAAATTTTAGAAAGTCGCCAAAAATGGCGATAAACAGCCAATTTCAAATTTCTATCGTCCACATTTGCTGCAAAGATAGCTCAAGCGTAACAACTAGTTACAAATCATGTTTGTTTACATTCACGTGCGATTGTTTGCTGAACAAACTTCGGCCCAGATATAAACCCGAACAATAAACCTAATTAATGTAGTAACTGGAACGTACTTTGCAAATTAAACAAATTTCAGATTTCTCTGGAAATGATTTGTTGCGCGGCTAAGCATTTCTGCACAATCAGAAAATTGAAGTTTGTATTGTTCTAATTATCCCAAAGGCAGATTATTGTTGTTATAATCATTTCCAGGAGAAAAGAGGGTTCTTCGGCAATTATTTACACAGTCATTAGTTCTATTGAATACATGCATGGTACATACAGTTTTGCTTCTCGCATCTTTTTAGTTCATAGAGAATAATACATTTTTGAAACAGATAGTTCCAAAACAGCGATCTTTAATTGTTTAAAGCATGCTATTGTTTCCACATATTAAATATGAAGCCTTAAAACTTTGGAGTTATTCTAGTATATTTTCACGGTATGCTCTTCAGTTTCTAAAATGTGATTATATTTAAAATAGAATGATCAAATACTTTTCTGCCATTTTTGTGAGACGACTTAGCTTTCATTGTGTACTGAACAAAGAAATATTTATTTATTCATGCATTATTTTTTCAAATTATTTGCAGCTATTTCAATTAACCTTTATTTAACATTTGTTACAGAATAAATAATTTATTATTGAAAAACTTGAACTGAATTATTCTGTAAGCAGGAAAAAGTTAGAAAAAGGGGAAATTACACCTAGAATTAACTACACTTAATTAATATGATGTGTGCTTTACATACATTTATAGTTAATCATTCAACCAGTTTGAATTTGTTCATGTTTTTCTGTTTTGTATCAAATCCATTGCTTCTGTCTAAAAACAAAATTATTTTTTGAAAGAATTTCAAGCGAATAAGCGCAATAAAACGTTTTATCTCATTTTTAACCACTATTGCACTGTAATATAAAAACTGATTCTACAGCTTGTTTTTATATAAATCATCTTCAAGGTAAACTAATGATGAAAATTAATGTTATAAAGCATTTTTAAATCCAGAAATTTTGCATAAATCACAATACGTCAGTATTTAAAGTTTTATGCCTTATTTTATAGTCTTAAAATTTTTAGGAAGTGCTTAAGTATTCGGAGATTGAGAATTAACTTGAAAACGTTTTAGAAAACGTGTAAGTACTTTGAGTAGAGAGTTCGCTTTAGAAAACATTTAAAATGTTTTAGTAATTGCTTAAAAATTTTGACCATAAGAATTTGTTTGAAAAGATACTGCATATTTGGTAAAGGATATACACAATACTTCTATAAAGGTTTAGAACTAAGTTTATACAAGAATCGAAAATTTCAGAAAATAATATTTTTTTTTTTTTTTTTTTTTTTTTTTTTTTTTTTTGATAATGTAAAAAGATTTGCAAGTCTCGTCATGTTCATGCACCAAATTGATTCCTTCCTGGAATAAATCTTGTGGAATATTGTTTAAGTCTCTGTTTACAGTATTCTGAAACTTTTAAATGCTGTTCAAATAATTACCTTTGAGATGAGACTTTGTTTTTTGAGAAGGAAAAGTAGTTTGCAGATGTCAAATATGGTGAATAAAAGGGTTGAGAATCGTAATGCTTGTTTTGCTAAAAACTGCTTTACAAGAAGGCAACTGTGTGATGGCGCATTGTCTTGCATTAGAGACTGGTTATTCGACTGAACGTTTTGGGACTAAAATCTTAAATTCTCTTCCGAAGTCTATCTATCACGCCTTTAGAAAATATGGAATTCACCCTCTGTCCCTTAAGAACATGTTCCTTATGAATTTGTATGAAAACAGACATTGTGTAAATGTCTAGGCGGTATATAGAATGCCGAAAGTTGAACAGCAAAGTATAAAACGATTAATATTTCACTTATTTCCTAGGCATTCTGTGCAGTGCGGAGAGGGGCTGGCGAAGTTTATAAAGTGCTCCGAGCTAATGATGTTGTTGCGAATGTCCCGTAATAAGGCACTTGGTTTACGACGCAGAAGGAGAATTCTCTGTTTATGTTTTTATATTTGTTCGAAAACAACGAAATACAACACTCTGTTCAGCAAAATCTTTAGTTCACTATGCTGTATGAAAATGGAAAAGGAAGCGGTAGTGTCCGAGAAGAAATCGCGGCATGTTGACAAGCAATACCGATTTTACGATTAACAGTCTGAAGCGTGAGCTAAAGTTAAAAAAGACAGTGTTTTCCTAATCAAAACTGCTTAAGACAAAGGCCAAGATGCTGCTGCCAAGGAACTATTAGCTGCTAAATCGCTATAATGTGATGTTATTGTAAAGCAAAAGTAAAATCATTTATTCTAAAGTAAAAAGTAAAATTATTAAAAGAATATGTTAGAAGTATAGAATAGTCTTTTGAATAAAAGCCTTTTCATGATTATTTTTTTAACTTTTTGCCTAAATCGAAATTTTTTGTCATTCTATCTGCTTAGGTATTGCATAAAATGCTTAAAGAAAGTATCCATAAATTTAAAATGATTCGAATATTTCATACTTTGTTCCATAGTGCCAGGATTTATGCTTTTTTTTTTGCGTGCGTTGCCGATTACAGCTAAATAAAAAAAATACTGTGATATCAAACAAGACAAATTTTTTAAGATTAGCTTTGCTTCGAACTCACAAGTATGTAAATTAGTCAATTCATTATCATAAAATAAGGTTTAGGAAAGATCACATATTTAGAAAGTATATTATATTTAGGATATTCTAGTGGCAAATGGATATCTAGAAACCTAAAACCCAGCGTTCATATTTCAGTTATATCCAGGACTCCAATGTATATTATATATTTCAGTCAATAACAATCTGCCTCTTTGCTGAGAGAAACGGATTTTCGTTCTTTATATCGATATTATTAATTTTATATCGATATTATTCTATTAGAACGAAGTTTCGTTCTGATAGAATAATATCGATATAAAATTAGAATATTTCAAAACCGATTTATGAAACAAAACATCGGCATTCTGTAGAATACCTTGGCGTTTTATAGAATCCATGGCGTTTTTTAAATGTGATAAAATATGAGAATTATCATATGCTTTCCCTAGGCATTCTATGGCATGAAAAATGCAACTTAGATAAAATATTAAAGAAAAAGATCCTGATAAAGCTAATGAATTATGTATGAATGTATTAAGCGTACGGATATTCGAAATGAATCGGAGATTTATTTCATAATTTGCCGGTTTGTCATTTGGTATTCTATAGAATGCCTAAGAAATGTATGAGATGTTAATCTTTTCATACATTGCTGCCCAGTTTTATGCATTCTATAAAATGCCTAGGTATTCTATAGAACGCCGGCTATAATTCACTGCCGATAACATGTGTAACGAATTCGAATCACAAGTGTTTTTAGTTGTCTTTTTTATCAAGTTACATTTCCTATTTATCATATTACAGCTTTGTTTACTAAGATATTGACTTTCACTTGTTTATTGAGAAAGATAAGTTCTTAGATCAGAAATTTCGGTTATAATGTTAATTGATATATAAAAAACCTATATCTTGATCAGTTATACTCTTTGATGTCTGCCGTCTCCATAAATATTATTTATCAATAATATATCTCCAGCTATACTTTTACGCGGTTCTTTTTTCTCGTGATAAATTTTAAAAAACAAAAATCTAAAGTACTTACATTCTTGTGGTCAATATCAAGTCCGTCCCACATGGAAGCAACAATTTTGGAGACTTCCCCAAAACTAGCATTCGGATTTTGACCTTTGATGGCGGCCTGAGTGTCTCGGAAAAATAAAGCATATGCAGAAACGGGCCTAAAAAGATCGAAAAGAAAATTGAAAGGTTAAAAGAAAACATATGCAGCATTTTTTGGCATTGAACCGAAGCATACATTCTACTAAATCATAACAAATAGCTAATAATAGTGAATAAAATCAACTAAGATACAGCTGAGGCAAAAATAATAAGGCTAACTTATAGCATTGGCTTGACATCAAATGAAATTTTATTTTCGGAAACAATATGTCGCTTATCTGAAACGGTTAAAAGTAGCTGTTGCACCAATTAGATTTGGTTAATAAAATCACACTTCATATTAAGTTATTGTTTTAAACATATCAACAATTTTACTCCGAGATTAGAAACTTACCTGCATTAAAAATTTAAAAAAATATACACATAAATGATTGGAAGATAAAATTTAAATTTTTTTAGATCTTATATAGATTTTTAAAGAAGAAATAGATATTATTAATTTCAGATGCTGAAAGTATATAAATTATTATTATATGTAAGAGTATGTAAGACACTGTATATAAATATTATTATATGTAAGAGTATTAAGACACTATATAAATATTTAATTATAGGTAAGAGTATGTAAGACACTATATAAATTATTAATTATATGTAAGAGTATGTAAGACACTGTATATAAATTATTAATTATATGTAAGAGTATGTAAGACACTGTATATAAATTATTAATTATACGTAAGAGTCTCCATAACCATTCATTAAGGTTATAAGGCATTTTCTCCCTCTTTTTCGCATGTCGTTGTGTGTAACTGTAGCACACTCGGCGCGTCTTCGAAATGTCCAGAGTTAGAGTCCCAGAGAGGGCACTGCACATATTTCACGTCTCCTGCTTCAAAATACCCTAATGATTCTCTATAAGATTATACTGCTCTTAACAATCCTTTTCCCATAATTATTATTTTTCCCCAATAGCGTGCTGTAGCCTTTTATAAGCCTTGGTCACTACGACTTCCGGAAGAGGCACTTAATAGATGGCCCACCGCTGCTGTATAAAGGGATGGAAAAATAACATCCTTGCCTTCTCCGGGATTCGAACCCGGGCCCTTCGATACGGCAGTCTGAGTCACTAACCACTTTTCCGACTGGAAGGCTAATTCATAAAAAGTTCAAACTCAGATCCTATTGATAAGACAAAAATCAATTCGTAAAAAGGGAAGCGGCAGAAGAAAGCTTTATGAACTACGACTGCAAGCTTTCTTTCTCAATTCTTCACGAATTTTTCTCCTTTATTGACAGCATTAAGTGGTATAAAATACTGACAACAAAAGAGACTTCGTCTAACAACACATAGAATACTTTTTTTTTTCTGAAATTACATGGTGTCCTCTTCATAAGCAAAACAGACAAATTTGACTCTTATCCTCTTCAGTTAAACTTTTTCAACTTGTGCTGCTACTAGCGATTTTTCACTAGCTCTTGACACTAAAAAAATTGTTTTAATCTGCAACGGAACAATTAAGCCACTTAATTTCGATGGATTTTCCTTTTCTTGCGCGCGTGGGGAAGGAGGTTTGACAAACATATATCTTTGACACCTTTTTCTTTCAAGTTGAAATTAAGTTAATTTAATTATAATTATGTGTAAGAAAATTTCTAAGGAAAAGTACCCTTTTTTAAAAATACTAATTAAAGCACATAAACAGACGTAGATAACATTTTATTGTACGAATGAAACTTGTATGAGTTATATTTTAGTTGTTATGTTACAAATGGAAAAATTCGTTACCCTTAATTTAGCCTCTTTCTTAGTATATACGTTTATTAAGCTCATCAGTTAATTAAGCTAAAATTTTAAAATAAATTTATTCTTAATCTGCCACTCAGAATGCACATTCACAGAAAATTAAGCAGAACGTATTTCAAATAATGTCTGGAATACATAGACGTTCCATCAGGTATACTCGAATTATTTCATAGATGCTGTACTTAGTTAACTGTAACACATTAAATTAAATGAAAGTATTTATAGTTGTTCTTAAGGTAGAAAATATGTCATTTTAACAGAAAACATTTTATTGACATTATCCTTACCTAACACTTCTAAAGAGTTTCTATCTTACAAATATTCCAAGAAGGCCATTCGTTATATAACGAGCAGGAGGAACATTTAAAAACTAAAAACAAAAACTCTTAACTCAACATAAAAAAAAAAGGTTTAAAAAGACGAATGCTTTTCTCAGTTACAATACTACAATTCACGCAGTTCTCTCTCTCTCTTTTCCTACGTCACTATCTGTCACAATTTACGGAATATTCCTCACTCATGACGTCATCGAAAAATTTCTGAACGGAAGAAAGATGGCCCCTTCCTCTTCTTCCTTGAAGAATGAAGACCGAGACAGAAATATATATAAAAATAAATTCGAGTCACATCGCAAAAATCCAATATTCAAAAGTGAAGCAAGAGCGGTAAATCACTCTGCTTTTATGAAAGCCCGCCAAGTAATGTCGTTTTATAGCCGCCATTAAAACCGACAGGACTTGTTCCTACTGGGCCAATAGCGGATCGGGGTTCCCCTTCCGTACACCCCTCTTGCGATGTTTATGGGGACCAAGGGTACCTTCTAGGCGGCCTATGTTTATGGTCTTTGCAGGGCCGTAAAGACAAATGTAATCTTTGTAATGGCCCGGGCTCCCCGCTTCTGGTACGACATCTGTTCTGTGGAGGGCTCCGTTAGGTATCCTGGTTGCTTGTTTTGCAATTGGATCGCCTTTTTTGGCGATCAGAAATTGTAATTCGTCTCATTCCGGATCGGATCGATTATCCGTTTCTTTAAAAGGGTCAGCCAAAAAAAAATTTTAAAATACAGATCACAAACTAACAGGAAGATTGATTAGCATCAAGAGTTTTACACACCGGCCCACAGCTTGATTTCGTAATACACATTAGAATTTTACATCGTAACATTCTAACAACATTCTTCAGTTCTAATGATAGTTTTATAACAAAGGTTTCTAAGACGTGAGCTTCAATGATGAATGGAAAATTGCTGACCTACGTTTAATAGCTTAAACGAGGAAACCTGGTTGTGTCTATATCGGAATATGATATTTAAGATGAAGTTAAAATGAGGATACAAGATGGGGATAAAATTCGTTACATAACAACAGCTTTGCAGTATAATTAAAACTGGAAATGCTATTGTACAATATAGCTTTTTATTTAGTATTTCAAGCTCATTTCTGACATTATAAAAGTTTAATTTCCTTTTGCGTGCATTTCTTATGATCCCTTAATTAAATTCTTCATGTTGCAAAAGTACTTATTAACTTAAATTATCTCCTAAATTCTGAAATTGATCTCTTAGTTTAATAAGAATATAAAATTACACAAATGTCGTTACTATCTGTTGTTTAGAGCAGCCATACTCACAGCATTTACAATCAGTTTAAAAAGTATTTTAATGATACTTATATTTATTCTAATGCACTTACAGATAATTTATCATTTAAACATTGAACTGTACTGAATAATAATCTTCAAATGAATCGGAATAATATCTATTGCACGTTAAGGGAAAGATTATTTCATATTATTAACCATTAATAATGCCTGCAATCTATTTTTACTCTCAATAATGTTAATCTTTACTTTGCAGATATATGCTGTCAACTAGATAAGTTTCTTAGTTAATCAGTATTATTAACCATTAGGAAATAGAGACCGAAAAAAATCAAAATTTGCAAGGAAGTCAATAACCACGATGCCAGGCAGATATAATTTAATCCATTAATAGCATTAAATGTTAATACACAAGATTTTCCCTAAATGAAATTAATTAAATAAATGTAAATTCATGAATGATATACAAACATTAACAAGGCACTATATAAGAGATAAATAAACATGTGTTTTTGTTGTTTTGTTTTTTAATTAAGAAACTGTATTACGAATATTAATTATTCAGAGAATAAATACGAAAAGGTCTATAATACATAAAATATCTTTTGTCTTTGTATCATTTATTATCTTTTGTCTTTGTATCATTTATTATCTTTTGTCTTTGTATCATTGCATTACCCTGACAAAATGTTTTTGTATTTTTAATATTCTTACATTAAAAGCATGACGAAAGAAAATAAAAAAATATTTAAAAAAAAATCGAAAGCTTTATATCATGCCCAAAAGGACTTTATTTAACGTTTTATGCGTTACCTTTATTTAACTAAATATCCCATTCTTCGTACTTAAACCGCAAAAACACTTAATTCAACAGCAATACCGCAAAATATTTCAAAAACAGCATATCTTTATAATTTCGATAGACAGTCTCACGCCTAGAGATAAAAATGTTTCTTCCTTCGCCCCCCCCCCATGCAGTGTTGCCATAGCTCACTTTGGAATCGTTGACTTTGTTCAAAGTTAATCAAAATATTTATTAAATATAAAATCGTTAAATAATTAAATTTAAAAAATTCGTTTAAGTTTTACAAAATATGAAATAGATAATAAAACAAATTCGGAATTCAAAATTCGGGCTTCCAGGTACACATATTCGGGTGTAAGATTACGTTATTCAAAAATTGATGGCTCTAGGTACTGTCGATTTTTTACAATGCGAGAAACATACCTACATTCATGCACATTCTCCTTTATTTAATTTTTTATAAACTAATACAGGGCGATAACATTTGGTGGCAACAATTTGAAAAATGATTCAAATTATAAATCTCGTTTCGAGATTAACAGCTTTTCTATCGCTTCTTAGGGCTAATAATTATTGAGTTAATTTTAAGAGCATTAATTAATCTTTGAGTGAAACGTGTCGTTAAAAATACAAATATCCAAATTCTTTCTGCTTCGAAACGAATTCATTAAATGTGGTTTTAATCGCAATTAAATTTAATATTAATAACAACATTATTTATTCTTGACAACACAATTGTTAAAATATTAATTACTATGCATTGCTTCTATGTGTTTAATCAATGCTTCGTTAATAATAAACCTCTATTTCAATTCTTATTATCAATGTATATTTAAATTTTTGTTGCA